TATATATATATATATATATATATATATATATATATATATATATATATACTTATTTATTTATTTATTTCAAGGGCTCTTTCATCACCCCCAATAAGTCCTTCCAACATGTTTTAACAACAAGATGTATGTAGTATTCAAGCAAAATTGGCAATACAAATTTGAAAAGAAACATGTCACTTACCTGAAAATACCTCTAATTTATGTCTCAGGTGAATGGGGAGCAATTTGCAAGGAATTGATAATGGATACAAAAGTTAAAGCTGTTAAAGCTACTCACGTGGATAGCAGTTTTTATATTTTAATTTTCATACATTTATTAAAAATTTATTTTTACTTTGTTATTTATCAAAATTGAAGATATTTATGTTTTTAGTTATGGTCTAATAAAGGTTAGGGCTTTAAACTTCTCCTTAACTCGTCCCAAGCCCAAGTGAGGTGGGTTACGTTAGGTAGACAACCAGCATGAAGTTTTACCACGTCATGAAAGCGGACCCCATATAATTGGAATAAGGCTTGGATGATGATGATGATAATAATTTATATTTTTAATTATATAATTTTATTTCATATTTAACTATTCTTAGAAAATATTTACTCCAAAATGGTTAGTATTTTTATTATAATTAAGTCCCAATAATTGAAAGGTAAACTCCCTATAAAAAAAAAGTGGTGCTTGTGGCATGGAGCATACCATATGCTAACTCCCTCAGGCACAAGAGCTAGCTACTTGGGAGATATTTTTTCCCTGAATTTTGGAGGTTCATCAATGATTCATGGAGCATAGCATACACTAACTCCCTCAGGCAAAAGAGCTAGCTACTTGAGAAAAAAATTTCACCAGAATTTTGGAGATTCATCAAAGATTCACCAGACGATATGTAAATAAATAAATAAAAAGGATATGGATTTCGCATTATTCAACATTTAGACCTTACCCTCAAAAAATTTCTACAATCCCTGTTTACTCTTGCGACATTATTTTCTTTGGTCGCGTAGAGTATACGATTTGATCTTTCCTTCTCTTCGAGTTGACTAGGTTCAAGTGTTTACAGCCCCCAAATTTGGGATCGTAGAAGTACTCATAGCATAGTTTTTACTAGAGAATAATCATTTTTAAACCAATATCATGCACTATAATGTCGATATAATTCTAAGATAATGAGTTCAAAAAGGTGCTTTGAAAAATCACCACCAAATAGAAATCCTACCGTAAGTGGTGTAGATAAGTGGTTATATCTCTAAGGTTTTGAAATATATGTAATATTATGGGAAATTTTGTATTGGGTATGGGATCCCTAACCTCATGGGAAATTTTTGTATTGGGTATGGAAGGCAAGAAAAAATATATATACCCTGTTTGGGATAGAAATGTGACTTCCTCTAGAGCGCGACAGGCATGGGCCTCTTGCATAAAAAGAAGTGAACATCTTATAGAGAGAAACATTATGATATTGCCTGACAGAACGATTGAATGGTTTCTTGTAGAGAAATGGTTCCATGGATTTTTTTTTATTGGTATTCTTTACATAAGAGAAAATATCGATCGGGAGAGATAGCTTAAAAAGTTGTTTGACTAGGTTTTCTTAAGGGTTAGAGAGACAACAATGTCTCCTAAAATATGTGATGTAACTCTTATCAATATAGGGGAATTCAGCTTGTTATGCCCATAGCCCTTTTTAAGGTTAACCACCTAAATCTTTTTATTTTTTTTATATTAATTTTTTTGTTTTATTTCTCATAATTATATCATGATTCACACTATCGCTAATTTTGTTTCCGGTAAGTTAAATCCATGATCCAGTTCTAAAGTAGTATTCCGGTAACAATATTTTTCACTAGGCTTTCACCGTCATTTTTTGCGAAATTTCTCAACCTTGTAGAATATTGGAACTTACCAAAACTTGCAGCCCCACAGAAGCATGGATTCATTTCACATGTAGCATAAATTAAATAACATTCATGGACACGGCCAAATCACCGAGTCCGACACCATTCTTTCGGTTCAATTGAGACGACTCGGAGATCAAGCTACAAGTCAGGGATCAAAGTCTTCTGGGTCGTCAACATTGCTTTCCTTGATCCGGTCTTCAATTTCAGTTCCATGGTCAGGTCAAGCAGAGAAAGAGAGAGTAAAACAGTGCTATTCTGCATTCCTGTAGAGAGAGAGTAAAACAGTGATGCGTTGAATCTAATCTATAAGTCGGCTTGCTTTTCCCATGGTCAACAATGGCGGCAACCAACCGCCATCTATGCTCCATATACTCCCTACACAGCAGTGCCCGCTGCACTGTGTGTGTTGAATTTATGATATTATGGCCTCATGCATTGGTAATCTTCTCTCTCTACGAGTTTTTTCGATTTCCACTTACGATTTCTCTAAAATAGTAGCTCCAATAGCTTGAGCTTTTCCTTTCAGGTATTTTCATGTGTTTCTGGAGCTTTGTTACAGACAATCCAGAGGTATACTCTTCCTCTCATCTTTCTGTCTCGTGATTCATATCTCTCTTTAAATAGACATTACTCTTCCTCTCATTTTTCTGTCTCGCGATCCAAATCTCTCTCTAAATAGACAATATGTGTTCTTGTTCTGGTCAATCAAAGCTCTCCCCCACTCTATCACTCTCCCATTTTCAGAAAATCAACTCGGCTGCGTCGAATTTACTTTTTTTATTTTTTAAAGAAAATCAAGAGAAAATATTGTATGTATTCTATAAGGGGAAAGGTTTTTGTACTTCCTCTACAGTATAGAAGATATATACTTTCCTCCCCATCCAGCAATCCAATTTAGATTACCTTTGAGATGCACTAAATCAATCGATATTGAAGCAAAAAACGGTGAATCAATAGAGTGCTTTTAAAGTTGACATCAATAGCTTCAAAACAAACCAAGAATAAAATTATATATATATATATATATATATTGAGTAATCGGAGAGAAACAACAGATTTAGTGGAATTTTTGCAGTTCATTGATATTACCTCTATGATGCACTACATCAATTGATATTTGAGCAAAAAACACAAACTAGACAAGGGGGTTTTCAAGTTTATTTCAATAGCTTGAAAATAAATTAATAGTCAAACAAATTATTGAGAAATTAGAGAGAATTAATAGATTTTACAAATTTTTTACAGTTCATCGATATTACCTCTTTGATGCATGAAATCAATCGATATGAAAGCAAAAGAAACACAAATCTATAGAGGGCTTTTGAAGATGATTTCAATAGATTCAAAAACAAACCAAAAATCAAGAAAATAAAATTGTTGAGTAATTAGAGAGAAACCGCTGATTTAGTAGAATTCTTACTACTCATCCTCTATGATACACTAAATCAATCGATATTTGAGCAAAAAAAATGAAAAATAGTATAGAGGTTTTCAAGTTTATTTCAATAGCTTAAAAAAAAAATAATTAGAAAAAGTTGTTGAGAAATTGTTAGGTACAGTTGGGCCCTTGAACCACCTAGGATCATAGCATACCACCACACTTCGCAGCCAACTTCCTCGGTGGTTCTCACTCTATGCTGGCTCTCACTCTTTGGCAGTTCTCACTCTGATTTTATTTCTTCAAGTAGCCCTTTCTATTGGCCGCCCTTTCTTAGGATTTCAAATCAGTATAGCGGTTTTGTAGATAATTTTAATAGATTCAAAACAAGCCAACAATCAATACTCGGGCGAGTTTTACCAATGTCGGCCGATTCTTAAATTTTCTCCAAGTCCCGTTCATTCATGGAGCACAACATCAGTTGTAGTATTGACTCGGGCCAACTCCGCCGAGGCCAAATCCAAAAACAGTGCTCTCTACAATTCTTAGGCGATTCTCTCTCTTCCTCTCTTGGTTTGCAGGAGATTCCCAGCGGCACACAACAAACAGGTGCTGCGCCAGAACCAGATGTGGAGGCCCCAAATATATCAATGCAAACCCAACATGAGACCTCGCCGGAAACCACCAACAACGGGCCGAGAAAGACCCAAGACCCGCCAGATTCCAGTAGCAAGAGTAACAATGATGGAGATTCGGAGCATAAGTGCAAGGATGCGATCTCAATCGCCACAGCCTTTGGCTCTGGTTCATTTCTTAGAGCTGTCACCCTTTTGTCCACAAACACAAAAACCAGAGTCTATGCTTTGGGAGCCCTAGTTGTGATTTACTTTGCTATTTTCGTTACAGCGACCGAGATGTTATATCTCATATTCCTAGTCCCATGCTCTACTAAAGCCATGGATGCCATCAAGTTTATGATACAGTTCCTCCTATTTCTATTAGTTGTGGTTCTTTTGATTGAGTTCTATGCTCATCTCCCAGACCAGATGCTTTGGACGGTTGGCTTGGCCTGCGTCGTCGTTCTTCTTTCGGGTGTTGCGATGCACTACCTCAACACTTGGGTATCTGCATAAGCCATGGCTAGAGAGAGAAAGAGAATTCTAGACAGAGAGAGAGAGGTTGTTGGGTATCTGGAATGGTATGTCTACTGCTGTTGGAATGGTATGTCTACTGCTGTTGGAACGAAAAATAAAAATTCAATTTGAAGATGGAATCCTCGGACCAAGGGGCAATGTCACCCTCTCCCACTAAAGTTTCTTGTGAGCTCCCTCTTTTTGGTGTCCTCTCTCTATCTCTCTCTGACTCTCTCTCTCTCTTAATCCAGTATCGAGAACTTTCATGCTCTCTCTCTTGCTCCCAAGTACCAGGATTTCTTGGAAAAGCCTCAAGTGTCCGGCGCTCCAAAGCCGAATGCAGAGAGTTGGTTTAGAGTGAGAGAGAGAATCTGTTTAGAGAGAAGACGTGATTGAGAGTAACTTATTTTACAGCGAGAAACCATCTAGAGCAAGAAAATGCCAACGCCTCTAAGTGCTCCACGTTTCCTTTGGTAGCGAGAGAGAGAGAGAGAGAGAGAGAGAGGTGAGGTTAAGGGTGGCTGGTACAGCCAAGCTATATTCAGTTTGCTTTCCTCCCCCTATCTTGAGTTTAGGTGGTGGTCAAGAGGTAGAGGAAATACAATGGTTACTTCGAGGAAACCAAAATCTCCAATATTCAACAGAAGTGTAAAGGTGAAAATTTTGCATGCTTCTTATAACTCTCGTGAGTCCTAAATAGCCTGATAATACATCTGTTGCATCCCAAAAAGATCGGTAGACTCCCCATAAAGACTTCAACAAAATAGGTAGACTACCAACAACCCTGTAAACTCCCACAAACACTCCAACAAAATAGGTAGACTGATAACAGCTCCAACTAATTCAAACTTAATTCATAAGAACCTGGACTAATTCAAATGGAAAAACAAAAAACAGAAAATATTCAAAGGTCTATCAACAAGGAATGCTTATTCCCATGAATTTCTTAGGCGTAACATCTCCCTCCCCCTTGATTTCGCCCTTGTCCTCAAGGGTGATATCTGGGAACTGATTTATGATAAACTCCTGATCTTCCCAAGTTGCATTAGCTGGAGACGCTCCTTGCTAATGAATCAAAACCTCATGCTTCTTCTTTCGAACTCGATGATCAAGAACAGTTTGTGGGGTTAGAATGATCCTCTCCTTCTCAACACTTACCACAGGTAACTGAGATTGAACAGGAATATTATCTCCAACCTTCGTCTTGAGGAAAGAGATGGAACATTGGGGAATCCGTGAATCATCCGGCAATTCTAATTTATAAGCCACTGCTCCTATGCCTTGTAACACCTTGAAAGGACCGTAATACCTTGTCGATAATTTAAAGTTTTTCCTCGTAGACACAGATAGCTGCCTATACGATTGCAGCTTCAAATATACCCTATCTACGACCGAAAATTGCCTTTCCTTCTGCTTAAAATCATAAACTCTTTTCATTCTTTCTTGAGCTTCCTAGATTTTGTCATGGATTTCTTTGATAACTGCATCTCTCTCCATCAGCTCTTGTTCAAGAGCTGCAACCTTAGCTGTTCCCAGAATTTAGGCTACGCGAGAAGGAGGGGGCCACCTATACACCACTTCAAATGGTGTTCAGCCAATCGTCGTTTGCCAACTTGTATTGTAACAAATTTCTTCCCATGTTAACCATTTCGCCCAATTTTTCGGTTGAGAGCTTGTTTGCACTTGTCAAGGTGGGGTCTCTATCACATACAATGGAATGGGGCATCCCATGCAACCGAAATATATGATCAAAGAAGACTCGAGACAACGCAGTGTATGGATGAGCAATCTCAATGAAATGCAATCTCAATGAAATGTGCATATTTTGACAGCCGGTCTACAACAACGATTGTGGATTTACCATTGGAGAGTGGCGACCCATCGATGAATTCCATGGCTATATCCTCTCATACTTGGATCAGTATGGGGAGCGGATGTAGAAGGCCAGCTGGAGCGAGCTGCTCCACCTTGTGTCGTTGGCAAACATCATAATTCTTAATGAACTTTGTAATTCTCTTTCTCATTCCTTTCCAATAGAAGTTAGAACGGATGCGGTGAAGAGTTTTAACGAAACCTTGGTATGTACTACCATGGAACTACTCGGTTCTATCCTCAATGAGAAGTGAGTCTTCTGCTAGATAAATTATAGCTTTGAAAAATAAGATACTTATAACTTCCATGGGCCCATGTCGTTACCCTCCTTCACCAATTGTACCAGTTGCTGGAGTGATGCGTTTGTTTTGGTTTCTTCTTTGATTGCATCAGTCCAGTTAGATAGTGGCAGAGAGATGGCACCAAACTCTCCAAAATTTTCTCTCCTTTCTTCTCTCCTAGGCCACTGTATTTTCCCTTCCTCGTTTGTATTCAACAACGAAGTTAAACCCCATTAATTTGTAAAGCCACCTTTGTTGAGCCACTGTAGTAATTTTTTGAGCCCACATATGACTAAGGCTTTGATGGTCGGTGCGCACAATGAATTGTCTACCTAACAAATAAGGCCGCCATTTTTGAACTGCCAGAAAAGGAGCTAAGATTTCCTTTTCGTAGGTAGACAATAACAAATACTTCCCTTGGAGAGCATGGCTATAAAAAGCAATTGGCCTTTCTTGCATCAACACAGCCCCAATTCCTGATCCTGAGGGACCGGCTATCTTGTCATAATCCTGAATAAATTTACGGTAATAGCTGGTTAATCCCAAAAACCCACATAGAGCTTTAAGAGATTGAGGTTTAGGCCAGCACAACATTGCTTCTATTTTTTCTGGATCTACAGCCACACTTGCACTTGAAATTATATGGCCTAGGTACTTAACTTCCCTTTGACCAAACTGACATTTTTCAAGCTTTACATATAACTGGTTACACTTTAAAACTGAAAATACAACCTCTAAATGTTTCACATGTTCGGCCCATGACTTACTGTATATTAAAATGTCGTCAAAGAAAATTAGAATGAATTTTCTTAAATAAACTCTGAACACCTCATTCATAAGAGTTTGAAAAGATGAGGGAGCGTTGGTAAGGCCGAATGGCATTACCAAGAACTCATAGTGATCTTG